CGGATGGGTTGACCAAGCAAGGAGTGACTAGGGAGTCTGTTTTCTGGGCTAGTTTTTAATTTTCTTTGCTTTCCCTGAGTTTTCTGTTTTTTGGGGAGCTAAGTTATTTTATCTCCCTCTGTATTCCTTTCCCTCTATTCTCTTAATTTAATGAAATTGATGTTATTGATCAAAAAAAAAACCACCTTGGAGGTCCAAATGGGCAAGGATATGTTTTAAAGAGGCATATGAATAATTTTAATCAATGGGACAAGTGGGAGTGGGTAATAACGTGGTACCCCCAAACCCATTCTTCATCGTCTCCTTTGAGACATTTTGAGGATTTTGATAAAAATCTAGGCTTGCAGAAGGGGAGAGCACAAACAAAAAGGATCTTCAAGACTCCATTGAGCAGGTGCATAGGGAAGATGATGTATCTCCTCATGATTGTGAAATGGTGGTAAGTGGTGAAGACTTGCACCAGGAGCAAGTTCTGTCCAATAGTAATAGCTCTGTGGTTTAGTTGGTGGATGATGTGGATAAAAGGTGAGGGCAGGAGGGATTGGTAAATGATTGTTACAACAAAGCCATGAACTCAGGTAAAGTGTACCAAGGCAAAGGTCACAACGAGAAAAAAGAGGCAGATGGTCGTGATGTGCTTGCCTGGAAAGATATTGATGGAGGACAAAGGAACTAGACTAGACAATGGGTGCTCAATGCCATGAAGGTTAGTCTCAATCTTTGTGTCATGTAAGACCAGCAAGTAAAATGTGAATGGAATCTTGGACAGTGCTTTGAGAGTCAGTGATGAAGGTAGAGCACCAAATATAAAGGTTTTTTATGATGTCTCAATCTGTAATGTGGTGATGGACTTGGTCCGTAAAAGGACAGCTGCTTAAGGAAGTACATTGATGATCAATCATGCTGGACTGTCCTAGTAAGATAAGAGTATTAGCATTGAGTGAAGAATTAAGGTCATAAATGTCAAAGCCTCGAAGGTTCTCTTGTCTTAGAAGTGATCTTTATGGGGCTGGACTTCGTAAGATGTTTAGGAAAGTTTAAACATGAAGATTTTGAAGGAGTTCTCATTTCATAAAAAAAAAATCTACCAAGAATAAGAACAGAGAACACTTTGATTCATTATTAGTGTTTCTTCCAAACAACAATGGTCTTTGACTTTGGAAAATATATCTGAGGTTGGAGTTGGCTGTAATCAGGGGCAAGTTGTTGCCACACATCCATTGCCGTTAATCACAAAGATGGCAGGTGCATCAAGCTGAATCAGTAGAAGATGGTGTTCAGAAACTAAAAGCTTAGAACTGAACCTGCTTTTGACAATTTCGACAGATCAAGCAGAGAATGTTTAAATGTTGGTAAAAATATGATAAGGATGGGAGAGGAATAATGAAGATGTTGATGTATTAATTAAACAAAAGTTTAAGGTAGGCAATCGTGTGGATCTTAACAAAAGTTTAGGGATATCCTTTTAGGAGGTGGGAAACAGACTAAAAAGGTATTTGGCATTAGAAGAGAAGGAGAGGCTCAATCATCCTAAATCAGCATCTTCAGTACACTTTTAGCAGCCAGATCAGACGTATTGGAAATGTGAGAATGCAGTTGATATTGAGATATAAAAGGAATGTTCAAAGATATAACAGTGTGGTTTTTCTACCGACCTTGTAGGGTCTGCAGAATGAGGTTTTGATTATGTGAAGAAAAGTTTTGGGTATTTGAGATGACAAGGACTGATTTGTTTTGGGTCTGAGAATTGATGATGGGTTTTAATTGGGCTTGGGTGGTCAGTATGTATGTTATTCTATTTTGTCTAATAAACCTTTTTTCTTTACTATCACAAAAAGAACCCACCCATTTTGCAGTGTCTATGTAAAATAGGTTCTTAATACAGTGCTTTGATTCTTTTTCCCCTCACCTAGTGTTAGTTCAACCCTACAACCTTCAGATGGCCTAAGAGAAGGGGCAAGATCTAGTGGAGATGTTCTAGGGTTGCCCTGCTGGTGTGGACAATGTGGGAGGAGAGAAATGCTAGAATTTTCAAAAATAAGGAGAGGAGAGGAGTGAGGAGTCTATTTGGGGCTGCATTTTAAATATCCATTGGGCTAAAACTCTGGATATTTTCCCTATTTTCCTATGATGATATTTGTAGGAATTGAGGAGTTGTAGCAAGGAGCTCAGGAATAAAGGTTAAAGCTGGCTATAGCTTGGGTACCTCCTGAAGAAGGTTTCATTAAGCTTAACTTTGATGCTAGCAGCTTGGGGAATCCAGGACCCACAGGAATTGGGGGTGTGTTAAGAAATGCATATGACAGTATAGTTGCTTTATGTCCAGGTCCTGTTGGTGTGGGGGACTCTCTTCAAGTTGTTCTGCAGGGGGCACAACTTGCTAGGGAGTTAAGGGGGACTTGAAGCTGATAATTGGGTGGCTAAGGAATCCAGATTCCAGACACTGTTGTTTGGGCCTACAGGGAAGCTATGAAAAGAGTCAAATGGTTGACCTCCAATATGACAGTAAGAGTTGGCTAATGGGATAGCTGACTGTTTAGCTAAGTAAGGGGTGCATAGGGATCATCTTTTCTAGGCTCAATTGTAATATGGTAATATTTGGTATTGGGAGGCTGCATCTCATGCCACCTTATGGGATGTTCTTTGTACAAATTGCTTCTGCTGAACTATTAATAAAATATTTCTATTACTTACCAAAAGAAGGCTCTTAATACCTAAAATAGTATCATTACAATCGGCAATGTTGTTACATTTATCAAACCCTTCTCTTCATTGCTCAGATCATCAAGTACTATCTGCAACTATACAAATACTATAATTCTAGCTTTTTCTCCCCTCTTATTCGCACAAGACCCTCCACCACCCAAATTAAATTTCTCTCATTTGATGATGGCTTCCATGGACCCCATTATAGTAAGATCAAATTAGAAGAGTATCTATCAAAAGCAAATTTACATCAATAACTTGGGTGAAAAAAGGCATGCTAGAACATATAAACAAGGATTAGAGATTGGGAGCAACCCATTAGGATAATTGTTACTCTTAGAACCGACCTGGAAAATCTAATAAAAAATGTAATAAGCCAACCATTATGTAAACGCTCCACCCACCACCAATAGTTACTTAAATATATCAAATAGAATGAAATGTTTAATGCATCTTGTTATGCCATGCATGACCTGCATTTGCTTCCAATATATCAATTGTTAATACTAAAACAGAATAACTTCTAAATATGCCAAGTTTATCATACATTACTTTGTTAGTTGCAATTGTTAGTCAAAATGCAAAGTTTTTTTTTATATATCTTTTGAAGGGTTACACAATGGGGGGTAGCCCATCCCCCAACCCAGGTGCAGGGGGGATTCAATCCCAAGTCTCCGCCACGACCAGCAGGAGACCTTACCAACCAGCTGGTTGGCACCTTGCTAGTCAAAATGCAAAGTTAATATCTTTTTAGTGAGCTTACTGGAAATGCGTAAGAATCGTTGAAGATATTAGAATGTTTATCGAGAATTTGAGCGTGTCATGAAGTCATTTGGGATTTTGATCCAAAACACCGCAATTTTCATGCAAGCATCCACTTTACTCTGTTTTATATGAAACTTAAAATCAAAGAGGCATGGTGCAAACCGAAAAACCATATCCATTTGCTATTGCAAGAAGAGCTATTCTGGTATTACTCTTAGTTATTACTTTATTGGAAAAACACACCTACAGAAAGAGTAAAATCACATACCTATCGTTCAGGAAAGCAATGTTTAGGGCTGTTACAAGAGAAGCAACAATGGCAAGAGGCCTCCTTAGAAATCCCATCCCTGTTGAAGATATAATCAAATTAAAATGGCATCCAACACACCAGTAATACATGCTAGCTATTGGGTAACCTTCCTGTTCTTACCAAGTATGAAAATTATCATGATGAAGTAGTTGGTCCGATAACTGTAAATACACATTAAAAAACAACTTTGCATATTAGAAAAAGAAGAGAAACCAAAATTTGAGGAACATGAAAAATCAAATGATAAAACTGATAAATAACCCAAATCATATGCGCAACAGAACTGCGTAAATCACGGTTTTATAAACTGCGTAATTCACGGAAATAAAACCAGAGCACATGGATCAAAAAGAATCCAACAAATGAACTGGGGTTTCTGATCGAGTTACAGAACCGGAAAACAGAGGAGGAAAAGAGGTAGTACTAGTAGAGATTGCACTTGAGACGACTGTTCCATTTGGCGTGTGATCTAGGGAAGGTGAATTTGGAGAAGAACTCAGCAAGGGGACGAGGAGGTGACGACCAGTCCACTTCACGAAGCGCATCGATCAGATCTTCCGTTGTTACGTTTCCCCAATCCATCTCTAAAAATGGTTCGTCCGAGTTAAGAAATTCAAAGAAATTATAAGAAGATTTGCAGACTCGATTTTCGATTTAATTTTTTTCTTAATTCGCAGAGGCAAAAGACCCTTCAATTCCAGAGACTGAAAGATCATGGACATAGACATAGGAATGAAGTTTGTTGTTGCATGATATTCGATACCTTTTTTTACGGTTTGAATTACGAAAGTACCCCTATCGTAATAGATAATTAGATGTTGCCTGGACAAAAATAAATTAAGGAACAGACAGCGGAATGGTGGTGATTCCACATTAGAGTGTCTGAGCCCGGGCTCGAACCGGGGACCTCTAGTGTGTGAGACTAGCGTGATAACCAACTACACCACCCAGACTTGAATGATCTGTCGGCCATTTCGTAATAATAAATTCTATTGACCGAGCCCATGTGAAATATTTTATACAAAGATCTCTTGTCTGAGCCCGGGTTCGAACCGGGGACCTCTAGTGTGTGAGACTAGCGTGATAACCAACTACACCACCCAGACTTGAATGATCTGTCGGCCATTTCGTAATAATAAATTCTATTGACCGAGCCCATGTGAAATATTTTATACAAAGATCTCTTGTCTGAGCCCGGGTTCGAACCGGGGACCTCTAGTGTGTGAGACTAGCGTGATAACCAACTACACCACCCAGACTTGAATGATCTATGGCCGATTTTATAAATAATACTCCGTTCGAGCTCATGTCAAATGTTCGATGAAGAAGTCTCTTGTCTGAGCCCGGGTTCGAACCGGGGACCTCTAGTGTGTGAGACTAGCGTGATAACCAACTACACCACCCAGACTGGATGGGAATACATACAGTTGATAAAATGAAAATATGGATCCCATGACAGTAGAAATCATGTAAACTCACGAAAAAAGCACATCTGATCGAAAAAATGTCCTGTATTTATATGTTATATTTATGGGGAAATATTCTTTTTGAACAGCTGAATTTCATACTATACACAATTTTTGCTTTCAAGAGATCTCTCTATTCTTGTCTCATGAATAGAATTTTTGTTTATTTTATATATTTTGAAGCACTACACAAAGGAGGGTAGCCCATCGCCCCAAGTGCAAGCGTGATTCAATCCCAAGTCTCCGCATAGGAGACCTTACCAGTCAAAACCGGTTCAGTGACACCCCAATAACCAGACTTGTTCAAAACCCACTGAAAACTAGTTAATTAGTCGCAATTTCATGAAACTACCTAGGGTCCATACATAAGTGAAATTTTAAAATATTGTTAACAATACTTGAATTAAAAACCTCTTATTTTGACAAATTACTTAATTACCACTAACCCACCTCTTTTACTTATGCTACTTAATGACTATTTATTGTACATATTTCATTATCATGCACGTATTTAAAAAAAAATGCAAGTTAAAGGGCTTCAACCCTAGTCATTTGTTTTAAAAATTAGAAAACTTACCATTCATCCACAATATTTAAGCACATTAAAAGTTGTAAACTATATTATATATGGTATTTATGTGACTCGTAGTATATATGTATCACAATTCGACCCAGGTCAAACCTCTGACCCGTGAACCTCTCCCTTCTCTAGTTCTATGCCCAGTCTGATTTTCTAAACATTAAGAATAAGAAAGTTAGCGTCAACTTAAATTTTTTTGGAGTTCTTGGTAAACAAATGAGTTAAATAAGGACAAGGCCGCCTAAGTATATTCAAAGACGTATGTGTCATTCATTATCACATTGCTACTGGTGGCAAGTAATTTTGTTGGTAAGTTATATTATTTCAAATGGCAGCAAATGTAGTTGTAGTTGCATAGAATGTCGATGTGACACAAAAAGGACATGGAACAACCAAGCCCTTCCAAATCTGCTTCAATGTATAAAACAATAAAAAAAAAAACAGAAAATATGTACAATAATTTTAACACATCCCCAATATCATATAATCATCATTATTTAAAGAAGAAACAAATGGGTTGTGGGTTAGTGATTTAACAAATTAGGTCAACTTGATTAAGCCATGATGTTAAAAATAAAATAATATATAATACCATAAATAATGTGCAGAAAAATTAGGAATGCATGTAATATATTATAGGTTAGTAGTTCAATTGTGTGGGTCAAAATGGTTAATTGGTGATATCATAAGCAAAATAAATAATACATAAAAATTATTAATTGGTTTCATAAATAAAAATATAAAAATATAAGAAAATTTAAAAATAATATATAAACAATTCAGGCATGTATTTAATATTATAAGTTCATCACATTAAAAAGAGATAAGTGGGTTGTGGCTTAGTAGTTCAATTGTACAGGTTAGTTGGTTAGGAAATGTATAGATGAAGTTAAAGATGTTAGTAAGGGGTTGTTTAAAGTGAATAAAATCTAGAATCTTATTTGTATAGAACTTGAGAATTGAAACAAAGAGAAGGCATATTGGAAATGAGTGGTTATTAAGAGTTTTTTGCTAGGAAGCCACCAATGCTAATAAGGAAGAAAGTAAAAAACGAGAATAATTTCAAAAATTGAGGGAATGGAGAAAAGGAAAATAAGTTGGGAGGGAAGTAAGAGGTGAAAAATGATGTTATGACAAATGGGGAAAAGGGAAAAGAAAAAAAAAAAGAATGGAGGTGGAAAGGTTAATCTTTGATACTGAGGGAGATCTAGAATTTAGTGGTAAGGGGGACAGGAGGAAGTGTCTCATGTAAGGGATCAATGCAAGTGTATTGGGGAATTTTCTAAGTTGTCTCTATAAAGATCATTAGCTATAATGTGAAAGGCTTAGGGAGTGTGCAAGAAAGATGAGGATGATTAAGGATTTACTAAAAAATGAAAGCATGAAATTACGCTATTACAAGAAACAAATTTTTCATAATCAAGCGGAAGGTAGATTAGGAGTTTTTGGAGATATAAGGATGTAGGTTGGATAGTGACTCCATGGAGAGCATTAAGAGAATCATCACATTTTGGAGGGATAATGTAGTGAAAGCAGTGGAGGAATTGATAGGTATATTTTCAATTTCTATAGAGTTCAAGAATGTAGCGAATGGTTTTGTTTGGGTTTCAAACAATGTTTACAGCCCTAATAACTACAAAGAAATGAACACAATGTGGGAGAACTTGTATGCAATTCAGGGCTTATGAGATGACCCCTAGTGCTTATGAAGGGATTTTAATGTTATATGATTCACTAAAGAAACTAGTAGTTCCAAGTAGACAATAACAACTAATATGAAGAAATTCAATGGATTTATTGAATATTGTGAGCTAAAAGAAATCCCATTATTGCAAAGTGAGGAATTAAGTAGGGTAAAATGAAAGGGCATAAAATTCCATAAGAAATTGTAGTGACTAAAATGTAAAATAAAAGAATAGAATAGGTGCCACTTTTAAAGAATTGATGAATAAAAAATGAGATTAATATATCGGATTAAAAAGTTAGATACAAAGGAATCTCAAAATAATCTAAACGAGGGTGACGGAAAATTGAGAAATCAATTGAAGAACGACATGCAAAAAATGTTTTTGAAAGAGAAAATAAATTGAAAACAGAAATCAAAGAACAAGTGGATTAAGGAAAGTGATGAGAATACTATGTCCTTTAATGATTAAGCAAATGGAATGAGAATAAAGAATTTTGTAATCAAACTAGAATTAGGAGATGATGTGATTACAAATCATGATGAAATAATTAGAAAGTTTATTGACCACTTCAAATTCATTCTTATAAGAACTTTGGATGAGAGATTAGTAGTGGAAAGCTAGGTGATTAAAAAGGAATTTTGAGGAATAAGAGATTAAATAAGTAATGTTTTTAATTGATATAGCTAATGCTTTAAGCCCATATGGCTTCACAGTGGATTTCTATCAAAATTGTTGGAAAATGACAAAATATGATTTGCGTGATGTATTTAAAGAATTTGTAGAAAAGCACATAGCAAGTCATTGAGTTAATGTTACTTGTTTTGCTCTAATCTCAAAGAAGCCTAATGCTAGCCACCGAAAAGACTTTAAGCTGATTAGTTTAGTGGCAAGTATTTACAAAATCTTAGCTAAAGTGCTATCTTTAAATATTAAAATAGTTCTCCTCTTATTTAGCATCCAAGCCCAAAGGGGTTTTCATTTAAGGGCAACAAATAATTGACCAAATTAAATATTGATTGCCAATGAATGTGTAGACGATATGAGAAGGTTTAAGAAAAAAAACTTTGTTTATAAATTGAATATTGAAAAGGCCTATGTTTTGGTAGATTGGTAGTTTCTTTTAGATGTGTTGTGAAATTGCGGGTTTGAAGAGAGGTGCTGTGCAAATGGTGATGATTAGGTAATCTATCATTACTCAATATTGGTTAATGGAAGTGAATGATTTATTTTCAACTTATAGGGGTATTAAGTAAAGGCCCACTCTCACTTAATCATCTTTTATTTTTACTTTAGTAACTGATATTTTTAATAAAATCATCACTAAGGATGATAGTGAATATTTTACAAATAGTTTAAGGACAATTAGAAATTAGATTCTAAACACCCATCTTTAATTTATACATGACTTGTTTTTTATGATGAGGGTACTAGTGAGAGGGTAGCAAATCTATAAGAGTTGATTATAGATTTTAAAATAATTTACAATCTAGAAAGAGTTGTATAGCAAGTATCAATTTGAAGGATAGGGACGTCGAAGCTATTATAGAATGTCTTGAGTGTTCCATCTCCTTTTGGCCGTTGTCCTATTTAAGGCTTTCGTTGGGGGCAAACCTTAAGGAGAGTAGGTTTTAGACTTAGATAGAGAAGTTAAAAAAGAGATTAGCGTTATGGAAGAACAACTGTCTCTTTGCGTGGTAGGATTACTTTGATAAGAACTGCATTGGCAAATTTGTCTACTTATTTCTTGTCTTTAGGATACCATATAGGGATGTTAAGAAATCGGAGAAACTAATGAGAGATTTCCTTTGGAAATCGATACAAGGAAAAAATGACCACCTAGTTAAGTGGGAAATTGTGTAGAAACAATGAGGGTGGGTTGTGTCTAGGAAAGGCGATTCAGAAAAGTTAGTGTTATTGGAAAAATGGTTATGGTGGTTGCCTTTGAAGAGAGAGAGAGAGAGAGAGATTATGGTATGAAATGGTGGAAAGTGTTCATGGTAGTTCAAA